TTTTTAGATACTGTGGATTATACAACTGCATACAGAGACGACAATAGTCAAGATGAAGCTCAATTTAAAAACTGATCCAAGGATACATGTTGGACCCAAGAAAACTTGTTCATATTGAACAACTATTTTTTATTATGTTAGTTCTGAATGAATATGGTAATTAAAAAAAGAAAATCATAAACTTTGTTATGTTTATTTTTTTTTTCAGCACTGGTTGTGTGTGCTGGTGTAAGCGGAAACTAATTATTGCTACCTTAATTCAACAAATAACTTAAACTGGTGAACTATAAATAGTTTTTAAGAATATGGGGCTGAAGTAGATTTCACCTAGTTTTGTTGCCTCTCCATATAAATAAATTTTATGGTCAGCAAAATGTCAAACAGCTTTTACTAAGTTTTACTGTCTATAACCAGTCAGGTACCAGTTAAGGTTAAAGCTGCTTTGAATTGAATCAGAGACAACCAAAAGGATTAAAATTTCAACTCAAGAACTTTTGCTTTAGCAAATGTGTTCACAAATATGTAGTCCCACTCTAAGCCTTACATTTGCATATATATATATCATAGATGTAAAACTTAATGATAAGGGAAGAATCAAGAATATGGGTTTTTGTCAATTCTAACCATACCAGCATATGAATGTAGACCAGGCTTAGTGAAGCATGGCTAATAACTAACCATCAACCACAAATACAACAAACTATAATCACTGCCTGTTTCCTGGTAATGTGTTGTTCTTGGCCGTGCAAGTTTATGAACATGTTATATATTACAAATGAAAAAGACTTGCTGATCAGATGCATTCCAGATATTTGAGGAAAAGATGTTTTCTATAAGGATAGACAGCTATAGCAAATGAGCTTAGGGGAAATGTTGAGTTAAGATAAACTATTTAGTAATTGTAATGACAGAGATACCATCACAGCAACAAATGTAATTGGGTTTGTATGACTAATTAATGAATATCCTATAAATAATAGCTAAATGCTGTAGTGGTCATCCATCAGACTTTGAGGTGGTGGGGGAGATTCGGACCTTTGTGTCAAGGGCGGGAGGGGGTTCAGAAAGTAAGATGACACTTTTCAATGTTCAACAAACACTCATGTTAAGAAACTGAATATAAGCCTTTATTTGCATTATTAAAAGTTGTTTTATAAATTGTTATAAAATAATTAATCAATAGGCCTACATTGAATGTTGGAAAAGCCCATAGGTCTAAATATTTTATGAAAATCGCTGCAATAGCGAGGAGAGGGGGGCTTAGGTTTACTTTTTTGGGGAAGGGGGGTGTCTGGCATCGTTGTGACATCGTTAATAGATGACCCCATAGTCAGAGGTCGATCTAGATTGATTAGGCCTATATTAAAATGTTGATATTAATTACGCTTTACTTATTATTACAATGGAATATAGCCTAGTAGTTTATTTATATTAAATAATATAACATCCCCTTTCACCTCAACACCCTGACTATACTAATTAAAATTAAAATGTTGTGTAAATTACTATTATATTATTAGTAATTTTGTGTTTAAATATTTTTAGCTTTAGTAAAACCGGAAGTGACTTTGTACTTATTTCACAAATATTTTAAAATATTCAATTTTGGTTCAAAAATATGCTTTCTGGCAACACAAAGTGGAACCACTTTTGGAACCACTTTTCCAGTCTAAATGGTTTTGAAGGTGCCTGTGATCGTTTCTTTTTAAATCCAAATTAAATGTGTGTGTTGGATTACATGAGTAGAGTAATTCGGGCACCAATTTTCGCTGTTTATAAATTGGACTTAATGTTTAAATTAATAGATAATGTTACCCGGAAGAACGCAGCCGTTCAATATTTTAATTGCTCACAAGCAGATTCAATCAAATTCTACCAGGATAGTGACCGCGTTGAGAAATGTAGCATCAAGCTAAAATAGTTATTTTGTTTATTTTAAGTCAATGTAAACATTAAAAAATACGCAGTTTTAAAATAAAGATCTGCAGAGAAATTTAAATACCCGTGCGTCTGATTCTTCCAAATAATAATAATTATCCAAATGCAGTTTCTTTACAAGTTGATTTTTCAATTAAAGAATAGAATGCGTTGACATTTGTAACTTTAGGTCAATCTGGAAAATTCTCAAAGATCTCCGAAACTTATTGAGTTTATGGTGTGAAAAGCCTATGCTTTTTAGATATTTTTTTAGGAGGTATAAAATTCAATCTAAAATGTATATTATGTAAATGTTTACAGTGTAATTTTAATTCAAATACCATAAACACATCTGCCCGATACGTTATACCAGCGGATGTAATTTTAACCGACTGTTGTTGACGAAACCCCCCCACCCCCCCCCCTCCCCCTCCCATCCTCTGACTAACGCGGGCTAAATCAGGCCCGGGGTATATGCGTCTCACTCACGAGTGTATTAATAAGCGCTCACTCCGACACATGCACGACCTGACACGTGTTTTGACACGACACGAGCGGGCTTTTATCTTGTCACGTGATATCCACGGCTTACTAATCTCTAGGCCTTACATCCAACCTAATCAGATAATTTCTTTAGAGAGATTAGGACTCTACCTCAGATTAGCGCTCTGACTAATCAGTCGGATATATATATATATATATATATATATATATATATATATATATATATATATATATATATATATATATATATATATATATATATATATATATATATATATATATATATATATATATATATATATATATATATATATATATACTAGCCGGCCAGGCCCTGCACTGGCCTCTGTGAAAAGCCTATCGTGTGTTTATTAAGCAGTATATACCCAGCATTGCCCGTGTTTCGGAAATACACTTTTTACCAATAATTGAATGTCTATATGCAAAAATATTAAAAAAGCACTAGGTTATAAATTTTGGGAACATTTTAAATGATTTCTATTGTTACCCTTTTCCTGTAAAAATCGCATGTTTATGCACTAAAATGTATAAGGATTTTAAATACTTAAGCGGAAATTTGTACTGAGTTAAGGAACGTTTAGCTATGATTTTTGTCTAAGATCTTTTGTCCTGAGATATTATTTTCTGAGAATTTAGTCCTTGAGACCTTATGTATCACATAATTTGTCTGATATCATTTGTCCTGAGATCGTACGTCTTGTAACCTTATATATATATATATATATATATATATACATATATATATATATATATATATATATATATATATATATATATATATATATATATATATATATATATATATATATATATATATATATATATATATATAAAACATGCGTAATAATATATAACAATATTATACAATATCATTATTAAAAATAGATAAAAAAAGGAAATAAGAATTTGAAAACTTCAGAGTTTGCATTTAATGTTTATTTCAAATAAATTAGCTTGAACAATTAAGCGAAAAACAATTGAATAAATTAGTAATTATAAACAGCTCGGGCAATGGAACTAATTAGCATGGGTTGAAAGACATCTGCTTAATTGGTGAGCAACTAAGCCATAAGTCAATGACGTCTTTTTAACTCAATTAGGTATATTAATTTACAACCAAATATAATATTTACCAAATGAAATATACACCAAACATAATTACTAATACACTGAGATTAAGAAACAAAATAATTTAAAAATTCACAACACTGTAAAATAAGTTAAGTAAAATTTAAAAAAAATATTTAAATACTACTTTAAACTTGATCATTTTTATTAAAAAAAAAAAAAAAAAAAACAACCTAAAAAGAATTTATTTATATATTTGCGCATGTGCCATACGTTGAAACTACAACTACATTTTAAAAAATAAAATAATATAATATAATAAAATAATAAAATGCGAACAGGAAATACGCAATGGAATGAGTGTTCGCCTTCAGCAGACGTAAAATAAAAACAATGACGTCAATGGCACATTCACATGAACCTTTGGTGCCGTGGTATTAACAAGTCGAAAACAAACTTCCACACACATCCACCCACACACCCACACACATAAGCCTATGAGACGAAATGTCCATCATTGTCAAGACAATGTTTACATGTTTAAAAATATCCACGTTCCCATTTGTTCGCTCCAGCTACAAGATTAGGAAGAGATTTGGGTTGGAGATTTCGTTATCGTTTTTTCCTTGATACCTATGACATTTATGATTTAAATGAACTCTTGTTGGGGTGCCGGCAGTATAGGCCAAAAAAAAATGAGTTACTACGTTATGTTGACTTTCTGAATGGCTCCGCTTTACCGTCGGCTGGCTCCCACTTCAGTGTTTGGCGCCAGAAATAATAGCGTATTTTTAAAGTATCAAATGCTTAACTTAATTAGCTTGTTTCGGTTATTTCAAGGCTAAAAAACGTTTTCTAATAATAACCGAAATAATTTTACAAGCAATTCAAGTGGACATCCATGTATATTTTAACCTTTTTTATGTCCCTAAACGTGTTTACATTTGGAAAAATCAAACATTTGAAATAGTTTTTAAATAGATATTTTTAACTAGTTTTCCATGCTTAAAATAACGCACATTCAATGCCAATAAAGAGAAATGCCTAGCTTTAATTCCGGAATATATTGCGGAGTTTCCATTTGTTTTTCTCCAACTTAAAAATATATGCTAAAACTTTTTTTTTCTTTCATGGAGTTCATTCCCCTTTGTCGCCTAGTAAAGGAACGCATTAAATATTTCTGATTAATGTTACATTGAAATACATCAAATAATAACGAAATATTTAAGAAGACGATCTTTCGAAATCAGTTTGCCAGACTAGTTAGTGATTGGGGATGGGGGGGGGGGGGGATAGACAGCTTGGTAATGTCTTTGTAGGTAATTGAAAAGCGGAGGACTAAGTCTAAGACATTGGGGGGTGGGGGGGGGGGGGGTAATTGGTAGGTGGTTGTTCTGAATCCCAAGGAATAGGGGGAGGGATAATTGACAGGGGTGGTGACCGGAAACTGCGCTTTTTTTTTTTGTTTGCGCAATTTTTCGATTGCGCATTTTTCTGGGAACCGACTGGGGTGAATCCTTGACCTTACTTTAGACCGAGCAAACGGGAAAAAAGTTTTTCTGTCATCCTGCGTGCAGTGGAATCGTCAAACAGAAGCGCTAGCCGTCAAGGTACGATATCCTGAGTCAGCGTCAGGAGTCAAGATTACGAGTCAGTGTCCAGCGTCGCGAGCTTTTAGTCAGAGTCATGAGTCCGGAACATGTCAGTATATAACAGGTTTTTTTTCATCATTTAATAAATAACTTAAAGTAATAAACTCTTGCTGGCTCAAAGTTTTCAAGCTAAAGTATTCCAATCAAGAGCTTCTCATGAGTTAGTGGAATCAAACTACGAAGACTGACTTTGAACAGGGAGCACTGACGACGTCTAGCATGCTATATAGATCTAGTAGCTCTATACATACACAATACAAAGCTAATTCATTGACTACGGAGGAAAATGTACACGTTGTAGCGCTAAAATTACAACAACAAAAAACTCTTCAAAATTTTAAAGGCTGTGTGCTTAATTAAACATTATTATTCATTTTAAAAATAAATGTTATTGTTATTTTTCAATTGCTCAAATTTGAATGTTTTATGTATACATACATAAAATTGTTAATTAAAAGACAATATTTGGTATAAGCCATCCAATGATTTACTTAGGTCAATTCATTATACATTACAACTACATTGGTGATTTGGCTTATGTACAAGATGTATAATACAATATATTATATAATGAATAAGTTGAATCTGTATACTTGTAGTTTAAATATTTTTAATGAGTCAATTTGTGTGTGTTGAGAACTTATTGTGTTATGGCTGTTTGTTTTAGTATATAAAGATTTTATACGTGTGGATGGATTTGGATGGATAAGTGTGGATGTGGATTACACAGTTCTGTGTACGAGTTAGGGTTGGTACCATGTGGAACAGGGTGCGTGACCGCGCATCGCACATTTTTGTGTGTGTTTGACAGTAATATTTTGTGAAAGACAGAAGCGGAGTCGGCCCCATGCCCTGGTTTAATGACCTTTCTACGGAAAAGAATCCGCGGCACACTTTCGCTCAGGTGTCATTTGGACTACCTGTTTCCTGGCATCGGAGCAGACGATAAACAACGGACCCTGTGTCCCGTACATCATTCTCTTAACATTCCATCGTCGGCAGCCCAAGACACTTCGGACTAGTGTCTTCCCGCGCAGTGTCGACAGGTCGGCATACTTGCGTCACATAGAGGGGAGATTACCTATTGGTGTAAGTCCAATTCCTTTGAGGAGTTATTGTTCCTGCAGCTGAAACACAGCAGGCTAGCTCTCAAAATATCGAGGCATCCAAGCCGGAAGAACTTAGAAAATGTCCGCCAGAATTCTTCGAATACTTTATGATTTTTCTGAGCTAAATCCACGACGTTGTGTAAAGCTTTTATAAAATTCCAAACCTACAAAATGGTATCTTTTATCGGCTTTAATCTACACTAATATGTGTGAAGCCTAATTTTAATGCTGCAGTTTTACTAGATTTAATTAATGTTGGCCTAATTACTAAAGGAGTTTACAATCAAGCTCCAATGTAAGGAACTGTCAGCCTAAAGCTGTGTATAGCAAAGATTGCACAAATATAAATTACATTAATTTAAAACACTCATTTACACGCTTGTTCACGTTTTTGCTTTTCATGAAATTTACATAATTGGGGGAAATATATTTTAAAATTCTGCGCTTTTTGCGCAAGGTTAAGCAAAAAATGCAAAAAAAGGAATACCCAGATGTACAACGTTTAAAAAAAATGTTCACATAAGCAAAAGGTCAAACCCCAGTTCATCACAAAGTTCAAAATGTTCCAAGATTTCTCCACGTAACAGACGCGGTTTTTTTTCTCGTTTTTCTTCAAATTAACTGAATCGAAATGTCAAAATCAACATTCTCAAACAATAAATTAAAATGCAAAATTTAAAAAATCTGAAGGTTTCGTTTTCGGAACAATCTTCTTACTTTGTCTAAAGATCTTCGTCTTCTCAAAAACAAATTCTGGAATCCATCGGTCAGTTGTCCGGCGCTTTCAGCTGCTCGCCTGTTCCGGTCTAGGGACGAGACAGGCGGCAGGTAGTTGGAGTTACAGGCTTCCCAGCTGCACGTGCTTTGGCAGCCGATGCCGCTGCGCCCGTTGTTCATTGTCCGATGCATGCAGCGGTCGCCCTCTAAGGTAATGTTGGTGCAGCCCCTGAAGATAGCAACACCTGTGGGGAGAAATGTGAGGTTAGGTGTGGGGGATGGTGAGGTTAGATGTGGGAAGAAATGTGAGGTTATGTGTGGGGAGAAATGGTGAAGTTAGGTGTGGGGGGAAATTGTGATGTTAGGTGTAGGGGGAATGGTGAGGTTAGGTGTGGGGGAAATGGTGAGGTTAGGTGTGGGGGGAAATGGTGAGGTGAGGTGTGGGTGAGATGGTGAGGTTCGGTGTGGGGGAAATGGTGAGGTAAGGTGTGGGGGAAATGGTGAGGTTAGGTGTGGGGGATGGTGAGGTTAGATGTGGGAAGAAATGTGAGGTTAGGTGTGGGGAGAAATGGTGAGGTTAGGTGTGGGGGAAATAGTGAGGTTAGGTGTGGGAGAAATGGTAAGGTTAGGTGTGGGGAAATAGTGAGGTTCAGTGTGGGGGAAATGGTAAGGTTAGGTGTGGGGAAATGGTGAGGTTAGATGTGGGGGGAAATGGTGAGGTTAGGTTTGGGGGAGATGGTGAGGTTCGGTGTGGGGGAAATGGTGAGGTAAGGTGTGGGGGAAATGGTGAGGTTAGGTGTGGGGGATGGTGAGGTTAGATGTGGGAAGAAATGTGATGTTAGGTGTGGGGGGAATGGTGAGGTTAGGTGTGGGGGGAAATGGTGAGGTAAGATGTGGGGCGAAATGGTGAGGTAAGGTATGGAAGGGGGGTAAATGGTGAGGTAATGTGTGGGGGGAAATTGTAATGTTAAGTGTGGGGGAAATGGTGAGGTTAGGTGTGGTGGAAAATGCATTTCTATGAAAGATGATGCGAGTGTTAAGTTGTGAGGGAATACTGATAAAAGAAAATAGTATTTAAAATTTAGAATTATACAAGCTTTCAATGAGTGCTAGAATAAAATAACACTCCTGTGACCAAACCACATTAATCAAGTCTTATTGTATAAGTGTAACTTGCTAAACGGGCAGCTGTAAATAGCACTTATGCTCACCATATCAGTTCATTACAAACCAGACTGTTCAGAAAAGAATCGGAGGCAAGGAACAATAGGTGTGTATAAACAATTAATCCAGTAGGTTATTGATCGATTCTTTATATTTATGAACTAGATTAGGGGTCCAGGAATTTCGGGGGCCCTAGGGTGTGTCTGGTCAGCCCCCCGCCCTCTCTTAAAAACCGCCACTGGGTTGGAGATGTTATTTCGGCGTAATTATAATATTGGGTTCAGCAACAATAAGCTTAACCGACCCTACAACCTCCCGAACTTACAGTAATCTCAATTTAATGCATTACTGTTATTAGCTTGAATTAAAATAAAAAAGAAATGCGTATGTTGATGCGTATGTTTGGTCGTGTATGTGCAAACATGTTCATGAAAGATTGAATGTGCGTGTATGTCGCTTATAAACACTAGCCCAGCAAGTACTCACCTCCATCCTCGATGTAGAGGTGGTAGACGTAGCAGTGTTGAATGTTGCCGGGACACTCCATGGGCATGACGTTGCCGGCGGCACAGCCTGGGTCGACTGGTCTACAGACAGAGCACATCCGGGTCTCACCTGTACCAGAGGAGAGATGCAGTGGTTCATTAAACTTACTATCACAAGGGGGGGGGGGCGAAATGATATTGGTGGTATGTTTTACTATTGTGGGGATGGGGGGTGGGGTAAAGAAATTAGTAGTATGTGTTTTACTATTGGGGGGTAACGACATTGGTAGTCTGTTTTTAATAGGGGGGGGGGGCGATATTGGTAGTCTTTGTTTTAATATTGTAGATATTACGATATCTAAAAAAAATCCTTAATAATGTTTCCAAGTCAACATATATCAAGACAATACCAGATCAAATATCACAAGGAAAGGTATTTATATATTCGTTCCACGGCGTGCATTGCAGTAGAACCCATACCAAAGATTGTATACAAAGTGTCGGTCAAAAGTATTTCAGCACTTAAAATTGATTTAAAATACAGTGCAAAAAAAAAAAAAATGCTTCGAGCTACACACATACATCGGATACTTTTTTTCCATTACATACGTTAGTCATTTGGTTTACTTTAGGGTACCAACCTTGTGACATTCCGTTCAGCAACCCGCCAATGTTAATGCTAATTCAAGCTTCTCTATGCTAATGAGTTTCGAACATCAAATTATTTCTATAGAAAACAAAACAGTATCGTCCTTAATCCTAGAACAATAGTTCTTAACCTTTTAGGATGTACCGAACTCCATAAGTCTCATATGCGCCTTCACCGAACCCTTCTTAATAGTTATATTGTCAGCACTGACTAATTCCGACCGTGAATAATATGAGTCGGGTGTGTGTCTTGATCTCAACGGAACCCCTGAGACAGACTCACCGAACCCAGGTTAAGACACTGTGCTAGACTTTTGCAAATGGGGGTAACAATTCCTTTACAAAGTAAACAATGTTTAAGTGGTTCTATAGCTTCCCCGATATGGGACGGCGGTAGTTTCGAGTTCGAATCAGGGTTCAAGTTAGTGGAACGTCCCTGAGTCCACCCACCTCTTATGAGTACTCACGTTAGGGAAAGTAAATGCGGCTGGGCATAGTGCTGACCACATTATCGCTTTATATGGCGAGGTCAAGAAACATGAACTCCACTTCATCTGCCCAATGGATCGTCAGGTCTAAAGAGGAATCTTTTACTTATAGCTTCCCCGATAGGCCTAGAAATTGCTCGGGTTAAAGTTAGGTTTGTGTGTGAATTAATGTAATGACAGGGGCAGTAACTCGGGGTATGATACAGCTAAGGTTAGGATTGCCTCAAGTGTTGCTAAGCCCTATTTTCAACACCGGTTAAATCACAACACCACCAAGCTCATTATTTGATAAACTGCGTTGAAAAAAAAATTCGCCTTCCTGTTTTCTTTCCTTCTTAAATTAAAAGATGATATCCCAAATAGTAATTAGCTGCTTTAAATTTCTACGCACTCCAGAATTAATCCACTAATCAAAGAACACGGCGGGGTGGCATCTTTTTTATCATCCGCCTGTCTCCATATCCCTCACCGTCCCCATCCCCCCCCCCATCCCCACTCCCCCGCGCGTGGACGGGTTAAACTGCCGGAGTATCCTGCGGTGCCATCCGATGGAGCTATCAGCGTCGTAAAGCTCACTCCCCCGCAAACAGCATTCCCAGGCAGATATGAATGAACGGACGTGGCTGCGAAGGCTGCGCTCAAGCCTTCAATGACATTCACCGGTGAAGGTCTATGGTTTTGTTTTTGTCTGTCGAAATAAATTCTAAATCTATTGCTCGCTGCACCCCCGCCCCCCCCCCCCCCCCCCCCCGTCTTTTTTAATAAGAAACATGGAGTAAGCTTTTAAAATAGATGAATATGCTTTAAATCTTTATCACTCCTCGCCTCCAATTTCTAGAGATTTCCTCATCGGGGTGGGCTTGTGGGCTTGTCGTAAGATTTCGTACTTTCAAGATGAAATTCGAATTTGGTTTTCGTATTGCTTACGAAGATATAAAATAAAACAGGCTTCATCTGCTTATAGTCTACACAAAGATGTGAAATAAAATAGTCTTCATGTGCTTGAAGTGTGATCAGGAACGTTAGTCAATGCTTTTGTTGAGGGATTTATCTACCTATCCACCCATCTACCCCCCCCCCCTCACACACACAAATACACAATTTTCTAACTAATGACGTCTTTATTCAGCCACAGACTAATAACTGAAGAACGTGTTTTACAAGTTTGAATTTTTAAGTCTTATTGGACCTGCCATGCGAAGATCCCACCCCCCCCCCCCCCCAATAGGGGAAAATGAGACAATCTCACGACAGAAAACCACGTTTAAAATAGTCGTGTACAGAAACTGAAATATTATAGCCCTACAATCATTTCAAACGTAAGTGGAAATTGGATGTGTGGGCTTGTTGGAAAATAAAAATTATTCATGTTACAACAAAAAAAAAGAATTGGTGTAATGTTTTTATTAATTAAAGAAAGGCTCTCGAGATAATTAAATTTAAAACGTTGAAGGAGTGGATAAAATAATAAAAGCCAATTGAATAATTTGTAAAGAAAGTGTACGCTAACGGTTTCCCAACTATGATGCGCGACTCCCCAGGGAGAGGGGGAAGGCTAGGTGGGGTCGAATGATTTAGTTGAAATAAATAAATACAATATTTTAATCATTACATATTTTTATCTTTTTTTTATTAAAAATTTCATATCGTAATAGTTTGGATCTGTTTACAGATACTCAAATACCAAATATCATGTTTATTATTAACTTTTTCAAATGTGTTCGTGTCACATAATTTACGAGGTTGGCATTACGCAATACGTGGGAGGGGGGAGGGGGGCGTTTAGTGACCCAAAATCCAACAAAAAATTCGGTGCAGTTTTTTTTTACATAAATAATGTTTTTTGTGCACCGGTAGAGTGGTTTTGTTTAAAAACAAATATGTCTACTATAGAAGTGATTGTTCTTCAGTAACCAACACACAGTGTTGCTTAGAAAAATATTTTTTTTTTAATCTACATGAGTTGTAGTGTGAAAGATAGACAAACGTTCACACTACTTCCATTACTTATTGCCCTCCTTACAAAAGTCTTATTAGGGTGCCTATAATACAACTTTAAACAATTTTGCACTAAGTAAATTAAACAGCAATTGCTTCGCTTGATTATTATTATTCAAATAAAATATACTAAAGAATGGCTTAGCTATAAAAAGGAATGTATTTCAATTAATAATGTAATTTTTTTTTAAATCATTAAAATAAACAGAACTCAAGAAACATTACATAAATCAAGCTTACGTGTTTATATAACTTTGACCGGCTTTTCTCAATTTTCGGCAAACATAAAATAATGTGATACAACAAAAAAATTTAAAATACGATTATTTCAGGCCCGAAATGTGTTTGGACATATTTTTGTCTGGTTTGTTGTCTGAGGACGGATATACTTTGCAATAAAATAGGTTAAGCTATTAAATTAGGAAATAGATTAATTTAAAAATTAGTGGAGTATGCTACTTATATATATATATATATATATATATATATATATATATATATATATATATATATATATTATTTTATTTTATTTTGTCTGTACTTCAACAATAGGTTTTGTGACTAACGTGATAGCAGTTGACAAATCATATTCAAAATACGGGCATTTTCTAAAAACTAGCTTGTATTAAATGTTAAATGCGAATGTTTTTTTTTTAATCTGAGAGGCGACTTGGTTTAGAAACTTGCGTTTGCGCTATAATTAATTGTATATATTCAACAGTTTAATGTTATGATATAATCTAATTAGATGTCATTAGATTGAAGTTAAAATTAATTAGTCCTTCATAACGAAGACCTCATTTCAAAACATTGTTCAGGAAAATTTAAACACGACTAAAAAAAATTCCACTAGCAAATTTTCTCGGCCACCTATCAGGGTGTCCGTCCGCTTATCATCCGCCCCCCGTCACCACTCCCCCCCCCCCCCGGGTACTGTTCGGGCTAAAATTAACATCATCCATTCATAAGTGCATGCTATCAGCTCTATGGCAGATACTGAAACCACTTCTGGAATGTATACAAGGTGGCCGAGATCTTACAGAACGCAATTGGTGGCTAAATACGTTCACGAAAACAGAAATTTGAAACTTTAAATTAGAACGATTATGATTATTGTATGAGTTATTTTCATATATATATATATATATATATATATATATATATATATATATATATATATATATATATATATATATATGCATGCGTGTGTGTGTGTTTGTTTGTGTTTGTGCGTATACACACACAAATATATATATATATATATATATATATATATATATATATATATATATATATATATATATATATATATATATATATATATATATACAGATATATATATATATATATATATATATATATATATATATATATATATATATATATATATATATATATATATATATATATATATATATGTATATATATATCTGTGTGTGTGTTTGTTTGTGTGTGTGTGCGTGCGTGCGTTTATATATATATATATATATATATATATATATATATATATATATATATATATATATATATTTATATATATATATATATATATATATATATATATTTATTTATTTATTTATTTATATATATATATATATATACATATATATATATATATATATATATATATATATATATATATATATATATATATATATATATATATATATATATATATATACTTCTTTATTTATTTATTTATGTATATGAATATATTAATACTTGTTTATTTACAAATTTATTTATCACTGACTGTCTGCCTAATCTCGGGCAGGTAAACAAGTCGTAAATCAGAAAAATTCCCGACCCTGATGTCGTAAATAATTTCCTCCCTACAGAATTAAACTTGGATGTTTTAAAAAAGACTGCCTCAAAGAAAGTTGCTTGTAAAAAAGATCCTATCAGTTGCACTTTAATACGTGCATGCTGCCCGTTGTTTATCGCTGATCTCGAATGTGGACAACGTTCTCGGGGGGGGGGGGACGCTTGATAGCAAACTCCAAAAGTCCCGAGTTCGGAACCGCGGGCTGTTGAGGTTCGTTGGCAGAATTACTTTCAGGGGGGGGGGGGGGTACAGAGCCCGAATATCGTCTACCGCCCCTTCCCCCCTGAACGAAATAGAATTAATATATAAAATATATACTTTTATCAGTTTCCGACACCCAGAAAAATTTAGTCCGCTCCCCACCCCGAAAATCTCAAGTGCCCCCCCCCCCCACCCCCGGAGAAAAAAAAGTCTGAAAGATACACTGTTTGTTGGCCGGGGAAAGAAAACTATAATCAATTTTTGACAGTCAATATTTTTTATTTAAATCCCCTCCAAAATTACAATCAAGAACTAAGCATAAGAAGACGTCGACCTCGAACTGCTAACGCTATTTCTTTCAATACTAATTTGAATGTATTTTATTTTAAAAGTTAAAAAAAAACAGGGTGTATTTTGGTAATCGCTACAATAAATAAAAGATATTACTGTTTTAATTTGTTGAAATACAATATAAATATCGCTTAGGGGTCATCCATAAATGATGTCACGCTTTTTTGGACGAGTTTTACCTCCCCCCTCCCCCCTCCCCTCCGTTACACGTCGTCACAAAAAGCCAGACCCCCCCCCCCCCAAAATGACGTCACACCTCAGCCTACAACACCCCCTCCCTCAAAATTGCAGTTGAATTTTTTTAAACAGCTATATTTTTCCAAAATCTTGTCTGAACTCTGTCAAAATAGAGTATTTTCATCAATTGTTATTTCAATTTATTAAAACAGTTTTCTAAAACGCAAAATAACGTCTAAAATTCGTTTTTTAACATTGCTTTTTACTTTCTCGAATATACGAAGTATAGAGAAAGTATTGTAATCGTGCACAAAAATCACTTGAAATTTTAACATCTTTCACCGTATTACACCTCAGTCCTTCATCACATCCGAAGTTTAGAGGACTTATTTTAATCGGGCAAAAATTATCAATCCAGATTTATCAAAACTAAGAGGTTTTATGCGTAATCCAGTCTGAAAAACTGGGCTTTGCAATTCTGTCCGTATGTCTGTGTGTCTGTGTGTGTGTGTGTCCGTGTGTAAACACGATAACTTGAGTACCGTTACAGCTAGGTTGATGAAATTTCATATATAAGTATTTTATCAAAATCGTAGATCCGTATCAACTTTTGAGTGATTTCCAATAACCGGAAGTGGTACTTTTTCTACTTTGAATTTTTCAAAAGCCTATAACTTGAGTACTATTTCAGATAGATAAATGAAATTCCACAAGTAAGTATAAGATCTAATTCTCTACCTTATGTTAAATTTTGAGTAGCTTCCGTTGACCGGAAGTAGTAATTTACGCTACTTCCGATTTCTCAAAAAACTAATGTAAATTTTAAAAGTACTAATACTATTGCGCACTATTATACACACCTTTATTAGGCGTTCGCTTGGTACGCAATTGTTTTTTACTGAGATTTTATTCTATTTTTAAAACTTTAAGTATTTAAAATTGATTAAAAATCATGTCTATAGCCCGAGTTCCCATCCCCTGTTGTTTTATATAAGAATATTCGAGAAAGTTTAGGGGAGATCACTCCCGGTTTATTTATAATGCAAAAGTGTGACGTCGCACCATCTGAACCCCCCCCCCCTCTCCCTCATCACACACCGTCACAAAATTACGGACCTCCTACCCCCTACGAGTGTGACGTCATTTATGTACGACCCCTTATTAGCAAATGGGATTTAATAAATTCAAAACTTTTAACGCGATGCCAAAAAATAATTCGATGTATCAGAAACACATACCAGTAACGTGTTACACAATCGTATTTTAGTTTGCCGATTTGGTCGTTTGTTAAAAATGTATGCAGCTACCAATGTCATAACTCTTGGGTTTTTATTTTATTTTATTATTCTATTTAATTCACGTAGCCACTAAAAATGATAGTTTTCTCTGCAGTTTTAAAATTTCTCATTTAAAACAAAAATCTTGGGATAAATTTGAAAACATATATATACGCCTGTTGCGAAAGGAACTTTTGTGGGAGGGAGTATTCGTAGCAGGTTTGAACACAATTCAAATGTAAAATTGGATACAACCCATAACTCGTCTTATTACTTTCTCGTATATACGAAGTATAGAGAAAGTCTTGTAATCGTGCAAAAAAAAAAAAATCGAGATTTTTGCAAATCTCGACGTTTTACATCTCACTGATACGGAAAAACATAATTTTGCAATCTTGTCCGTATGTCTGTGTGTCTGTGTGTGTGTGTGTGTGTGTGTGTGTGTCCGTGTGTAAACACGATAACTTGAGTACCGTTACAGCTAGGTTGATGAAATTTCATATACAAGTATTTTATAAAAATCGTAGATCCGTATCAACTTTTGAGCGATTTCGGATAACCGGAAGTGGTACTTTTTCTACTTTGAATTTTTCAAAAGCCTATAACTTGAGTACTATTTCAGATAGATAAATGAAATTTGATATGTAAGTAAAAGATCTAATTCTCTACCTTCTGTCAAATTTTGAGAATTTGTCGTTGACCGGAAGTACTTATTTACGCTACTTCCGATTTCTCAAAAAACTAATGTAAATTTTAAAAGTACTAATAATATTGCGCACTATTATCCGCTTTTTTATTAGGCGTTCACTTGGTGTGCAATTAATTTGTCTACGATATTTTATTCTATTTTTAAAACTTTAAGTATTTAAAATGGATTAAAAATCATGTCTATAGCCCGAGTTCCCATCCCCTGTTATTTTATATAAGAATATTCGAGAAAGTTTAGGGGAGATCACTCCCGGTTTATTTTTTGATAACTTCACATATACCACACAACTGTTTTTAATTTGAGATGTACATTTTATTTATTTGCCAATAAATATGTAAAAATATTTTTTAATGGTCACCGTAAAGTAGAAGGCTAAATTTTAATTTGCATTAGTATATCAGTTAGGTTCTTGAGAACCCAAATAACTAGGAGATTATCTGAATTGGACCAACACTATATACATACAACTAATGGATTTTTTTTTACATGAATAACATGCGCTGAGATGCGGAAAGTAAAAGGTTAATTGTTCAGATTATGGTGTTTTTTATCCGGCTTACTGAATGCTTACAAATTTCTGGAATACGATTAAAAAATTGAAAATGCTAATTTTCATCGTTCATCAAATTCCGAGGTACGATAACTTTGGTGGGATCGGCGCTTTAATAACTATTTTATTTAAACATATGAAATAAATTGCTTCAAAATCTAGCGGATCTGGGGCTGAATTTTGATTTATTTAAGTGTAGCGACGCGGTAATTTTAATATTATAGAGATAAATCAGTGATATATTTGGGGGTGAGGTCACGGAGAATGACTGGGAGCAGTGTAGCAAACAGTAAAATAAGATATGGTCAGTTGTTATAATCAGGGGTGGTCATCACTAGTCAGAGAGGGATTTTGTGTCCATCCCACCATCTAGAACAGATGTACGATGTATAGGAAAAACGAGAGTCTTGTTGCCATGACGAATGTAAGTTCATGGACTCAGGGTCAAGTACAATGTGAACATTTGTTTATGGCCACTTTCAAAAGACTTTATGGCCCTAGTGTATGCTTTTTTATGGCCACGTATATAAGGCTTCATGGCCATAGTGGTTACATCTTTATGGCCACGTTTATGAGGCTTCATGGCCATAGTGTATACATCTTTATGGCCACTTTTATTGGGCTTCATAGCTATAGTGTATACTTCTTTATGGCCACGTATATAAGGCTTCATGGCCATAGTGGTTACATCTTTATGGCCACGTTTATGAGGCTTCATGGCCATAGTGGTTACATCTTTATGGCCACGTTTATGAGGCTTCATGGCCATAGTGGTTACATCTTTATGGCCACGTTTATAAGGCTTCATGGCCATAGTGGTTACATCTTTATGGCCACGTTTATGAGGCTTCATGGCCATAGTGGTTACATCTTTATGGCCACGTTTATAAGGCTTCATGGCCATAGTGGTTACATCTTTATGGCCACGTTTATGAGGCTTCATGGCCATAGTGGTTACATCTTTATGGCCACTTTTATTGGGCTTCATAGCTATAGTGTATACTTCTTTATGGCCACGTATATAAGGCTTCATGGCCATAGTGTATACATCTTTATGGCCACGTTTATGAGGCTTCATGGCCATAGTGTATACATCTTTATGGCCACGTTTATAAGGTTTCATGATCATAAATTCTTTATACATGCGCTGACAGGCTCTGTACCCACGACTTAAAGCAAGTTTCATATAGAATCTACCCGTGACTTGCAAATTTATTTAAAAATATAATACACGTGACATAGTGTACTCACCATAAAATATCTGGCCCATGAAGACCATACAAGCCAGCACCATCATTGTACAGACGGACATGTTTAGCGGAACAATATGTTTTAGAATTCCCACTTTTTAATTTACTCAGCGTACAAAAGAAGAACGCCTCAACGAATGTTCAATAGGTTTCACCTCCAATAATATTGCCTTCAAATGTTCAGTCCAGCAGTTTAAAAACAAATACACACACACACTACAAATGATTTATATTCCACGTGTACCACGCCAAACTGGCAAGTCGTATGGATAATTTTGGCTTCAAGATCAACTTTATTGTTTTTTAGAGCGACGCACCCTGTGCTCAGTGAAGCGTGTCTACAGACGGTGTTCACGTACCAGCATTCCACCTGCCTGTCTAGGATTGTTTCGTCACTTCTGCTGTAGGGGTTTTTTTAAGTCCAAGAATTTCAAAGTCAAGATTCGATTGTTTGACTGGAGTTCCTGTTTGAATCTGAAAATGCAATAAAGATATTAATATGACTGTAAAAACTGTATGCGTTTTAGTACAATAAAAACATGGTAAATTCCAAGAATGTTTGCAATGACATTAGTTATGTTACTGTTAGATTCTAATAATCGGTGGAGAGTTTAAAGAATAAGAGTTTAACTGTCATTTGTACTATTAACCAGCTTTGCTGTAATACAATTTATTTAAAAACTTTATGCTTAAAAATCTTGAAACGTTTAATTTTCAGTTTAGTATTGCGGTTATTCATATCTTTGAAGCTTTAAATTTATTTTAAAAATTTCAACAAATTACAGTGCGCTTGTTGTCATCTATAAATTTGTTAATATCATAAATTTTAGGCTGTTACATGTTTTAAAATAGGAAATTGTATGTTGAATATACATTACATTTGTTCCACCAATTTATGAAGCGTAATACAAGAAAGTAAAACATGTTTTCTAGCACACAGCTGAGGGCTTCACCGGATGGTTAGAAAATCGATGATTTTTTTTTTATCTCAAAAAAATCTGATTCTTTATATAATTATTTTTAAAAATGTAATGGATTATTATTTTTTCCAAATGAAATTTACATTTTGACAATTCTAGATTAAGTAAACATATTTAAGAGACTAAGCAATACTAATTCATACAGTGTACGATTTACACATTTTTAAAAGATACCTTACACAATCCCGGTAGTGTAAACAAAAAGTTATTCAAAATGAATTGTCGAAACATTTGATTCTTGTATTAATGTATAGCAAGACGACAAATGTTCAGATCGACTTCAGCGATGTCCCATTATCTGACTCAGAGAGTCTCTGTCTTACGGTTTTGGTAATTTATGAAGAGATCAGATACATATTTGGAATGGTCACATTCCTGGGTCCCCCTGGCGCTGATTGGTGGACTGACGCCGTCTGCTCCACATACCTGGAGAGCAGGAATTTTGTCAGGTGACCAAGTTGTCGGAGCCGGGGATTAAACCCGCGCCTTCCATGCCCCAGTCAGCGCCTCCCATGCCCCAGTCAGCGCCTCCCATGCCCCAGTCAGCGCCTTCCATGCCCCAGAAACTGGCCTAGGTTTCCACGAAGGGCAAGTCTCGGAAACTTTTGTCTAATGTCACTGTGCAGTAGATCTTTGTATAATCAGTTTAGACAATCCAGATTTTTTTACGTTAACAAACAATATTACAATAGATTACTGTATCCGCAAGAAAAGTTTGTCTAAGTCACTGTATAACAGAGAGTCTGGATAATCAGTTTATACGATCCAGATTTTTTACGTTAACAAACAATATTACAATAGATTACTCTATCCGCACGATTTTGGCTCGGAATAAACTTTCGGATATTGTGGAACAAAATTAAATGGCAACATTAGAGATAGCAGGAGAAGATATACTGAAATATAGGTGGTGAACCAAAAAATGAACAGGCTGTGTAAAAGCTTTGTATTGACCCAAGAAGTGAAATAATTTTTAAAATGCATAAAAATCGTTATAATAACAAGCTTGTATATAATAATGTTATTAAAAGGAGAAAATAACTGATTTTCTTTAAATATATAATAATACACTCCTATTTAAATAACTGTAAAGAGAAGCGTGGGTCATTATATTATTTATTGCATACCTTTACTAATCTTTAGGAAGCGACACACGTTTTTCTTTATAGCTATATGTTTAAACAAAATGATTTATTTTCTCATTTTTTGCGCTTTATTACACAAAAGTCTGTTATTAAAACGATTTTTATGCTTTTTTCATTACTTTAAAATTTGTATTACAATAGTTCCATGACGAAAAACAATTGTGCACAAAATGACTATGACAAAGCTCCGTACGAAATAGTAGTAGGACAGCCTACTAGTTTTTAGACATTTTTAATTATTTCATAAATAATTAATTCGTCATTCAATTAAATCAAATTTGATGTCAAATTGCATTGTAATCTGGTCTTGACCCACGTGCCGAATTTCGGAGAAATTGGTGCTCAAAATTTCGCTCGCCCGTTTTAATCTAGACAGACGGAAAGACACACATGACGAGGATGCAAGGTACATAATAGCTTATATAAATATGTAGATCTACACGATTTATTTCGCCGAGTTTTTAATGTTTTCACTACGCAAGATAGAATGTTGACCTTCGGACATAGCCAAGCTAAGGAAAACAAATAATTTACCAAAACAAAAATTCACAACTAGAGCAAAAATAATAAACAACCGAAACAAAATATCACAATAATTTGGAATTAACCACGCTATGCGTATAATAATTCCAATCATTTTAAACTATATTTTTCTAAAAAATACCCAGTCTATTTTTACTATTAATTTTATTTTTCGATTATAACTGCAACTTTATACGTTAATAACAAACATATTTTTAAAAAAGAAATTCAATTAAAAACTATACTATTAATTTTGTTTTCAATTATAACTGCAACTTTATACATTAATAATAAACAGATTTAAAAAAGAAATTCAATTAAAAAACTTCTAACATGTCCACGCCCACTGTCAAATAATTACTCCTGTTACAACGTAATGAAACTAAACCCAGGAAGTTTAGCGGCGAGCGTTGGTTAACTTACGCGAGCGCGCCTGTCACAATGAAACCCGATCCAGCTTTTTGTCTAGCTCAGATTTCAACCGTCTAAATTACGCGAGTTTTATTTACCACCCCAATGTCGCAGTAAAAAAAAATTGTCACTCGAATACACAACATAACAGCGGAATAGATGAAATTCCAACGTCTTTTCGGGTCGTTTGTGATCGTGTTTTTTTTTCCAGTCGTGTTACCTGCATCAAATCCTAATTTCTCCGCGCGTTCTCTTGCTTGAGAGAAGAGTGGGCAAACACGTGCTTATATAGTCGACCCATGCCATGGTTGTGGTGAGTGGGTGGTTGTGGGAAGTCATCACCCCCACCCCCTCAACAACACACCCTCACCCACGCACCCCACATATACCTTACTATTAGATCGTATCTCAGAGACTCTACGTTGACCACGTTTTCTCAAACATTTCAAGCCAGGCTTGATGGTAAACAACGCGAGGTTCTCGTGTTAGGAGGCTCAGAGTTCGCGGACCACTTACACGCACTTTGGACATTTGCTTGTCTGTAATTACACAGCTTGCCTGTCTGTATGCGCTGTCTTGGACAACATTGACCTGTCTTGTAATTTGTAATAAAAATATTTTTTTCCATTACAATTTATCGTTAGCGTGGTCGTCGTTGTTGTCGTCGTCGCCAACGTCATGGCTTACTTCATCATCATCATCATCATCATCATCATCATCATCATCATCATCATCATCATCATCATCATCATCATCATCATCATCATCATCATCATCATCATCATCATCATCATCATCATCATCATCATCATCATCATCATCATCATCATCATCATCATCATCATCATCATCATCATCATCATCATCATCATCACCATCATCATCATTCTCATCATCATTATCATCATCATCATTATCATCATCATTCTCATCATCATCAGCATCATCATCATCATCATTATCATCATCATCATTATCTTCATCATTCTCATCATCATTCTCATCATCATCATCGTCATCGTAATTGTCATCGGCATGTTTATTATTATCATTATTATTATTATTGTTATTATTATTATTTTATTATTATTATTATTATTGTTATTATTATTTTATTATTATTATTATTATTATTATTATTATTATTATTATTATTATTATTATTATTATTATTATTATTATTATTATTATTATTATTATTATTATTATTATTATTATTATTATTATTATTATTATTATTATTATTATTACTAATATTAAGACTGTTATTATTTTTACTCTTTTCATCATCATCCTTTTATTATATTTTGTTGTTGTTATTACTATCATTATCAATAATATTATTCTGTCAATTTTTTGCAATTGATATCATTATTGTTATTATGACTATTATTATCATGTTTCTCTCCATAAACGTACACGTGAACCCGACCAATGAGGAAACGAATACAACCTGCTCAGGCACACGACTGTGATGTATGCCGTGTACATAAGTGCCAAGCACGGACGGGCCCGGCAGTAAGTCATCACCCCCTAGCGCGCAGTTGGTACGCTAGTTGGCGCGCTTTGCGCAGAACCACTAAAAAAATGCGCATACCGCGAGGGGAGGAATGCGCGCAAGTTTTGATTTGTATGTTTACCTCCTCTCATTACCACTGGACTTGTCATGACGTATGGTGTCACCTGGGTATTGTCACTTTATCTTCAGACATTACCCGCCCCCACCCCCCACCCATCCTTCCTTTTTTTCTATCCCTAATCCCTTAAACCCATCATGGGGAATGTATCTAGACAAATACACAAAATAATAGTTTAGTGGTCGACAGCATTTGTTTTTGGAAAGCTTCCTTTTGAAATAAAATTCTAGACTATAGGTACTCGCGATAAAATTCTAGACAAAAGATGGCATAAAGGTACTCGCGATAAATCACCGACTCACTTACACAACTCATACCCTTCACCCCTACTCCCCCCCCCCCCGAACGTTGACCCTACTCTAAAGACCCCTTCATCTCCAAACCCCCTCTCCCTCATACCTCATTTACCTCACCAACCTTGACATCTCCCCCCTTCCAATCACACCGGTTCCCTTCATCTTTCACACACACACACCCGCCCGTATTCTCACATTGTTTTACAACACAATACATTACTTATATTATGTAAAATCCTTCAATGGAGCTTCGATTGTAAAAAGCAGAGATTTTTTTTCAAACTCGATTAAAATTTATAAATGTCAAAATGTTTCCCATAAATTTAAAAATGGCTTTGTAAAATCTTGAGATTATGTTAACGATTTCCGCCGTACATTAACACATTTAGTTAAGACGGTCAAATTTATAATTCAGGTATGGGTTCGTTTATACAGACTTTTGCTAAAACATGATGTTGCAGACCGGATCTAGATACACGTATTTAGGCTGGGCTCTATACACAATTTGAGACTCGTTTTAAATCTGGTGCTAGACTGTTTTTCTCGTGAGTGCGCAAAGGTAGCAGAAGACAGTGCCCACGTCTGTCAGAGCAGATGTTACAAAACCAACTGGCATCGCAGCATCACAACATGGAGGAGACACATATTTGGCAACGTTTGCTACGACTTGGCTCCCGATGCCGCTCTACCTCCGGATGGACGCTGGTGAGATTATGATGGATTGCGGCACTTACAAGAATTGGCCGACATGTTGATTTCAGATTAGTGGGATAGTTCAGTGGTTCAAGTTAAGCTAGGTCTCAAATGATTATTCTAAATCAAAAAGTATTTTTAAAATAATATTAAGTTTTATTTCTAAAAGATAGATTTTAATACATTGGTGGTTTTTTTTTTGTAAACCTACTTTAAGAAAAAACTTAAATTTTAAATTTGATAAGCAGCTATCTTAAACGATTTTTTAAAATTTTAAACATCAAATGAATTAAAAGTCTGACATTCTTGTAATTTCAGATAATTTTATTATTACTGCTAATCTATCCACCATCGATCATGATTTTATTTTCCCCATATATCTGATGAGGTACAACCTCTATGAACAGATGAGATTTTCTTAAAGCGATTCTAGTTTTGATGAAAGAAGAGAATATTCATTTTTTTAAAATCCAAAATAGCTGCAGATACCACTTCCGCTCCTTAACGGCATGTTAAAAAAGTAAAAAGAAAAGAAAAAGAAAAAGAAGAGAAAAGACCAAACCCTAAATATGACCATGTGAAAAGATCTATTAAAATGTGTTATCAGTGTGAAATCTGCAGGGGCGGCACAGGGCTTAACCAACCATTTCATGGACAGAGGAGACTGTACCCGGTGACCCACATTCAGGTCTCGTCTGCCGCGTCTAGCCAGGGGATGGTTTGTACTTCCGGTGCGAAGAGGTTTTTTTTTATAAACCTGGCGATCCTTGAAATGGCTGTTGCTATTTACGGCAAAAACTGCTTTAGATCTTCCTAACTGGGGCGTGTCCTTTATGTGACGAAGATCAAGAGGACAAGAGGCGTATTTAGGGGCATCCAGCATGGCGTTCCACCATAGGGCACAGTTCTAGATCATATCAGTATATCAGGGGCGTAGCTAGGTTTTCAGTTTGGGAACGATATATATATATATATATATATATATATATATATATATATATATATATATATACATATGTACGCTAATGTAGATGTAGACGCTGAAGCTGAAGTGTGCACTAAATGAGCATAGATAATCACCCAAACACATCTATAATTTACAGAACGAGCCCTTAAAATTAAATGTAAAATTATTCTTGTTATAAAATAAAGCGAGGTTGATTTCCCCTAAACTTCCTCGTGTATTCTTATATAACGATTGGATCAGAAACTGACAAAAGATACCAAGTAGCTAGGGTCACTGTAAAAAATTATATTAAAAATACTTACTGTATTTTGTATACCTTCACTATTAATGTTATATGTCTAAGACAAATGCTCGAAAGACACTTAGACCGAAGACCGTCTATTCGAATGGATGTTTGCCCGAATCGGAAAAATACCGAATGAACGCTTGCCCGAATGAAACCAAAGATATCTGGGTAAATTGAAACGAAATCGGTGCATCAGAAGTCGGTCAAAATTGAGATAAAATATTTGTCACAAACAAAAGGAAGGACAGAAATACAGACATCGTGAACTAAATTATCATATTAAAAATATTTGGCTTTCAGAGACTTTGGGTATGTGAATTCACATATTATCCTCATTTTTTTAAAACCTTCAGACCTTCCGTTTTTCAGACCCTTAGACCACCAGACCTTCATACACTCAGACAAGTCGTTTGGACCTTCAGACCACCAGACCTTCAGACCACCAGACCTTCAGACCACCAGACCACCAAACCTTCAGACCTTCAGACCTTCAGACCTTCAGACCACCAGACCACCAAACCTTCAGACCACCAGAACTTCAGACCACCAGACCACCAAACCTTCAGACCACCAGACCACCAGACTTTCAGACCACCAGACCTTCAGACCACCAAACCTTCAGACCACCAAACCTTCAGACCACCAGACCTTCAGACCACCAGACCTTCAGACCTTCAGACCACCAGACCTTCAGACCTTCAGATCACCAGACCACCAAACCTTCAGACCACCAGACCTTCAGACCACCAGACCTTCAGACCACCAGACCTTCAGACCACCAGACCACCAGACCTTCAGACCACCAGACCTTCAGACCACCAAATCTTCAGACCTTCAGACCACCAGATCTTCAGACCTTCAGACCACCAAACCTTCAGACCACCAAACCTTCAGACCACCAAACCTTCAGACCACCAAACCTTCAGACCACCAGACCTTCAGACCACCAGACCTTCAGACCTTCAGACCACCAGACCTTCAGACCTTCAGATCACCAGACCACCAAACCTTCAGACCACCAGACCTTCAGACCACCAAACCTTCAGACCACCAGACCACCAGACCTTCAGACCACCAGACCTTCAGACCACCAAACCTTCAGACCTTCAGACCACCAGACCTTCAGACCTTCAGACCACCAGACCTTCAGATCTTCATATCTTCAGACCACCAGATCTTCAGACCTTCAGACCTTCAGTCTTTTATTAGAAACGTTGTATAATAAGAGGAGTGATAGTCCAAACAAAAGAAATATAAGTCGAGTTAAGGTCGGTCACCATGTCCTAATATAATGTAATATAATGCAGCATTAAAATTTTCTTAAATGTCGGTAAAAATGTGCTAGTCTGTTTTTACAGAATACAACCACGTTCCCTAATTCGATGCAACATTAAAAGTTTATTAAATCTCGCTTCTTTGATTCGGTATCCTGTTTACAATGTGCAAGAATGTGTCTCCTTTAAGGACACATTTTTTTTCAACCCGTTTTTTTTTAAACTATTTTTTGTTCAACATTTTTGTGAAATAAAGGAGGAGCCTAGCACATAGAAACAGGATGTAGCAATGTAGCAGCGTGTTTATAATCACGACGTAAACAATAGGTAAGCATGTCGTTTACACTTCGCGGAAGGCACGCCAAAAAATGGTTTTGGAGTTGGCGTAACTTAAAATACCGTTTAAAAAGTTCGAGACCTAGTTGAAGCGAACTATACTAAAGTAACTGGAGGGGTAAGGGTGGCGTTGAATACGTGTCTTGGTGTGTGTAAGGGGGGGGGGGGGGCTTAATACAGTAAACTGAAACAAAATAGAAAAGTTAATTCTAATCAATGTCTAAAGCAGTGTTTCTTCCAGACATCTCTTCGAAGCCCCCCACTCCCGAACGAAATGGAAATGTATATAGAAAATATATACTTTTACCAGTGCCCCCCCCCCCCCCCACCCCCAGAAAATATCAAGTGCCACCCGGAGAAAAAAAGCGTGGAAGAAACACTGGTCTAAAGTTTGACGTTTGTTTGTTACTAAATTATGGTAAAGTAGAAAGTAAAATTCCCCTTTCAAACCTAACGATTCGTCGGGAAGACGAAGTAGGGTGCATATGTTTATTGACCTCGGCATATGAAAGGATTGTGGTCAGCACTATACACAATCGCCTTTACTTTCTCCAACGTGTGTTAGGTTTCTATCTGAGCTGGGTGGATTCAAGCACGTTCTTCACTCAGGACCGAGATTCGAACTCGAGACCAACGGGTTAGCAGCCGATATATCTATCATTCGACCACGCAATCTAATATCTAAATATACAATTATTTCTACAGTGTGTTTCGAGTGCAGTGTGGGTTCTGGATCGGGGTTTCAACATGCAACCCCCTCCCCTCCTGCCCCGCATCCTAGGCGTTTCTAGACTTGGATGGCCCTTCCCCCCTCACAGATGCAATAAAACAACATGCGCAACCCCCCCCCCCCCCCTCCCACGCATCCAGCGACGGTTCTAGACTTGGATGACCCCACAGATGCAATAAAACACCATACGCACCCCTCAGCGTGTTGACCTAATCACTCGTCCGCGCCCGCTAATTATACCAGATCCCATAAATCGTGTTTTATGTCACCAAGCAAACGAGCCGATTGCCTATTATAGTTATCCAACCTAATATATGGTGTGACGTTCTGCACTCAATTACGACAGACTACTGTTTATATGAAAAACTCTGCTCTAGGAGCATTACAGTGGCAAGGGAGAATTAGAGAGTAGCTCTCAATAGGTGAATGTGGAGGTGAAGGTCGTCTGACGACACTGGACTAGCTGTATAGGATATTTTTATGTTTAACTAAGTTACTAGACTCAGAGGCGTAGCGAGGGGGGGGGGGCGGGGGTGCGGACCGCACCGGGTGACACCATTTAGGGGGGTGACACCAAGGCAAAAAATAGCAAAATATATAGAGAAAAACTTGAGGGGGGTGCAAATCGAAAACTTGAGGGGGGGGGTGCAAATCGAAAACTTGAGGAGGGGGGGTGCAAATCGAAAATTTGAAAGTTTGTCCCTGTGAAGGGTCGCTACGCCTCTGGGGGTAACACCATTAAGTGCCGCACCGGGTGACACCCGACCTCGCTACGCCACTGACTAGACTTAAGACACTGACAGTCCAACTTTAGTTTACAAAATTATAAAACACATGGAATATATACCAAATGTCATATATACATCCTTGCAAATACATATCGTGCTTGATAACCAAGAATAGGTAACTCTGATTTTTTTTTTTAGGCTGCTGTTTTAAATTTCACCCTTCTGTATCTCCTTAAGGCCGCGTCCTATAGTAGCGATGCAACACGCGCTGTTACGTAACATGTCCAGAATACAACACACATGCAGTTTTGGTCAACTCTAGGTCACTTAAAGTGCATCTTTTCACACAAACCTTAGCGTCTAGTACAGTATTTATTTAATTTGTTTCTTGAAAACTTTTTAAAGTGCTTTAGCCACGGTCACAATGACAAAAAAAACATAATAATCAAGGTCATAATAGGGCTTGTAAGTCTCGGTCTCTCTCGCTTAAAATTCAAAATCTCGTTAGCCAGGGAGATTTATAAATTTTCAAACTAAATTAATTGTTTTGAACATGATTCTAATTGATAACAAAAAAAAAAACATGCAACGATTATAACATAGGTACTAACAATAGTATCAAATTATATTAATATTTAACTTCGTTCAGGTTAACTTGTTACCAATAAATAATAACTTCTTTATACCAAAAAAAATTACAATTTAACTTAGGCTATATTTTAAAGCTATCCTGTTAGTCTATTAATTTTCACGAGCCGACCCGCAGCGTATCATACGCCGCTATTTAGTTGTTTTATTTTCTACTTTTCAGTAATTGATAATTTGTGAATTCGACAGAACCAATGCTGCCACTGAAAATATTTGCTTAAAAACACTACCCCCCCCCCCCCCACGTGAAAGCAGCCTCCTATTAGTTACCTCCTCTAAGTTTAAAATCGTTTCAAACTCAATTATCTGCCCCTAATAGCCGTCACCAAACCCGTCTCTGTGATTGTAAAATGTAAATAGCATGACCACAGCTCACCAGACAATGTGGGGGTGGGGGTGGTAGTGATAGTGATAGTGATAGAGAGAAAGAGAGGGGACTGCAAGGAGGCGCTTGCAGCTTGTTTTCTAACGGATCCCAGAAGAGAATTATATATATATAGATTGTTTACGATTTTAAACAAATTAACAAAAGCGCAAGTAACTTTTTTACCGTTTTAATAAAACAAGTTAATTAAAAAGTCTAGTGACAATTTTAGCGCAATTTCCTTATATCGAACCTCAGCTTATTAACAGGGTACAAAAATAACGTTTGATTTAATAAGTAAATTAAATCGAGATAAATCATATATTGAGCAAATAAATAATGCAACACAAGTAGTTTTAATAATTCAAAACAAAATAGAAAAAATATTTATTAACGAGATTTTAAAAAAAATCCTTTCGAACCTCCGCTCATTCGCTATGGTAAAATCCTTTCGAACCTCAGCTTATTAATAGGGTACAAAAATAACGTTTGAATTAATAAGTAAATTAAATCGAGATAAATCATATATTCAGCAAATAAATAATGCAACACAAGTAGTTTTAATAATTCAAAACAAAATAGAAACTAGCCTCCCGTATCAGTCGAAAAAAAAGGGGAGAGTAGCCTCCCGTATCAGTCGAAAAAAAAGGGGAAAAATTTAAAAAATCCTTTCGAACCTCCGCTCATTAAAATCCTTTCGATCCTCAGCTTTTGCGCTAAAAACCTACAAGACGCTCAGTTTAAAAATTCTTAATTAATTTTTTGTGACCGAACGAAAGGATATTTTTGAAAACTTTCTTCGGCAATATTGGTTTAAATTATGGCAGGAATCGATTGGTAAATGTTTCAAGTCGCCAAGTGGTCTGGTTGCCTAGATATGTAGCAAAAACTGAATTTGTTCGAGGTTTTTTGGCTTTTACGGGAAATCCATGAAAGAAACCCGGAATTTTTATGGCCTATGTTCATCCTCGTAACTGGCTTAACATAATTGCTTTTGGAACTAGTCATCGATATTGCTTCGTTGAGGAGGAGATACGACTTAAAGCTGCGGACACACATTCATCCATCCATCCATCCATCCATCCAGAAATGACGGGTTAATAAACGCAATTCTCCAGAATGGAAATTGCGCTAAAAATATTCACTTTCACAGAAAAATTTTAGCTGGCATGTACGATAACGAGACGTTGATGACCGACTTACAAGCCGTATTTGATTAACGGAGAGGATGGGGTATCTAGAAAGAAATATTGTGCGGTACACGATCTACACGATCTTCAATCAGTGCGGTCAGGTAATGTGAAGATGCGCAACAGAGAATCGGGGTCAAATTGCAAAAGAAAACAAAAAGCTAATATATTTTAAAGGTTGCAATCGTTATTTGATCTAAAACGTACACATATTTTACACTGCTACATTATATGTTACACTGTCTGTTACATTGTTACACAGGTACACTGTTACCGTGCATCCTTTAGGAAGACTCACACAGAGGCGTAGCGGGGGGGGGGGGGGGGGGACATATGTCCCCGGGCGCCGACCTGAAAGTTTGAGGGGGGGGGGATGCAAACGAAAAGTTCGAGGGGGGAGCAAATCGAAAGTTTGAGGGGGGGGGGGGTGCAAACGAAAAGTTCGAGGGGGGTGCAAATCGAAAGTTTGAGGGGGGGGGTGCAAATCAAAAGTTCAAGAGGGGTGCACATCGAAAGTTTGTTCCGGGAAAGGGTCGCTACGCCTCTGGACTCACATTCCTCAACTTCTTGTTATGGTATGTCAATGTATTTCCTGTCGTCTAACTGCACTTTAATAAAGACCTCACATGCTTGTGTTTGTTTGTTGTTGTTTTAACAAGGTCACATCAAGTCTTAGTTATGAATGTTAGTGCATGTGTTTGTTCTTCCTTTAGTGCATGATTTCCCCTATTGTTTAGTGCGAGAATTCCCCCGTTTTTTAGAGTGTGTGTTTCCCAGCTGTTTAGAGCCAATGTGTGTCTTGTGTTTAGTGCCGATCTTTATCTAAAATGTTTTCAAAGGCACGAGTTTCTCTGTCTGGAAACTAGGTTCTTAGTATAGGACCTTGACATAAATCCGTATTAGGTGAACTTATAATGTTAAATATTTATTATATATATATATATATATATAT